TTATGGTTTTCTCTGGATATATTCCCAATAGTGAGATTGCTGGGTCATATGGTAGTTCTATTTTTAGTTTTTTAAGGAACCTCCGTAGTGTTCTCCATAGTGGCTGTATCAATGTACATTCCCACCAACAGTGCAAGAGGGTCCTCTTTTCTCCACACCCTCTCCAGCATTTGTTGTTTGTAGATTTTCTGATGATGCCCATTCTAACTGGTGTGAGATGATACCTCATTGTAGTTTTGATTTGCATTTCTCTAATAATTAGTGATGTTGAACAGCTTTTCATGTGCTTCTTGGCCATCTGTATGTCTTCTTTGGAGAAATGTCTATTTAGGTCTTCTGCCCATTTTTGGATTGGGTTTTTTTTTTTTTTTAATATTGAGCTGCATGAGCTGTTTATATATTTTGGAGATTAATCCTTTGTCCGTTGTTTCGTTTGCAAATATTTTCTCCAATTCTGAGGGTTCTCTTTTCATCTTGTTTATGGTTTCCTTTGCTGTGCAAAAGCTTTGAAGTTTCATTAGGTCCCATTTGTTTATTTTTGTTTTTATTTCCATTTCTCTAGGAGGTGGGTCAAAAAAGATCTTGCTGTGATTTATGTCAAAGAGTGTTCTTCCTGTGTTTTCCTCTAAGAGTTTTATAGTGTCCGGTCTTACATTTAGGTCTCTAATCCATTTTGAGTTTATTTTTGTGTATGGTGTTAGGGAGTGTTCTAATTTCATTCTTTTACATGTAGCTGTCCAGCTTTCCCAGCACCACTTATTGAAGAGACTGTCTTTTCTCCATTGTATATCCTTGCCTCCTTTCTCATAGATTAGTTGACCATAGGTGCGTGGGTTTATTTCTGGGCTTTCTATGTTGTTCCATTGATCTATATTTCTGTTTCTGTGCCAGTACCATATTGTCTTGATTACTGTAGCTTTGTAGTATAGTCTGAAGTCAGGGAGTCTGATTCCTCCAGCTCCGTTTTTTTCCCTCAAGACTGCTTTGGCTATTTGGGGTCTTTTGTGTCTCCATACAGATTTTCAGATTTTTTGTTCTAGTTCCATAAAAAATGCCATTGGTAATTTGATAGGGATTGCATTGAATTTGTAGATTGCTTTGGGTAGTATAGTCATTTTCACAATATTGATTCTTCCAATCCAAGAACATGGTATATCTCTCCATCTGTTGGTATCATCTTTAATTTCTTTCATCAGTATCTTATAGTTTTCTGCATATAGGTCTTTTGTCTCCTTAGGTAGGTTTATTCCTAGGTATTTTATTCTTTTTTGTTGCAATGGGAAATGGGAGTGTTTCCTTAATTTCTCTTTCAGATTTTTCATCATTAGTGTATAGGAATGCAAGAGGTTTCTGTACATTAATTTTGTATCCTGCAACTTTACCAAATTCATTGATTAGCTCTAGTAGTTTTCCGGTGGCATCTTTAGGATTCTCTCTATATAGTATCATGTCATCTGCAAACAGTGACAGTTTTACTTCTTCTTTTCCAATTTGTATTCCTTTTATTTCTTTTTCTTCTCTGATTGCCATGGCTAGGACTTCCAAAATTATGTTCAATAATAGTGGTGAGAGTGGACATCCTTGTCTTGTTCCTGATCTTAGCGGAAAAGGTTTTAGTTTTCACCATTGAGAATGACATTGGCTGTGGGTTTGTCATATATGGCCTTTATCATGTTGAGGTAAGTTCCCTCTGTGCCTACTTTCTGGAGGGTTTTTATCATAAATGGGTGCTGAATTTTGTCAAAAGCTTTTTCTGCATCTATTGAGATGATCATATGGTTTTTATTCTTCAATTTGTTAATATGGTGAATCACATTGATTGATTTGCATATATTGAAGAATGCTTGCATCCCTGGGATAAATCCCACTTGATCATGGTGTATGATCCTTTTAATATGTTGTTGGATTGTGTTTGCTAGTATTTTGTTGAGGATTTTTGCATCTATATTCATCAGTGATATTGGTCTGTAATTTTCTTTTCTTCATAGTCTTTGTCTAGTTTTGGTATCAGGGTGATTTTGGCCTCATAGAATGAGTTTGGGAGTGTTCCTTCCTCTGCAATTTTTGGGAAGAGTTTGAGAAGGATGGGTGTTAGCTTTTCTCTAATTGTTTGATACAATTCACCTGTGAAGCCATCTGGTCCTGGACTTTTTGTTTATTGGAAGATTTTTAATCACAGTTTCAATTTCATTGCTTGTGATCAGTCTGTTCATATTTTCTATTTCTTCCTGGTTCAGTCTTGGGAAGGTTATATCTTTCTAAGAATTTGTCCATTTCTTCCAGGTTGTCCATTTTATTGGCATAGAGTTGCTTGTAGTAGTCTCTCAGGATGCTTTGTATTTCTGTGGTGTCTGTTGTAACTTCTAGGTTTTCATTCCTAATTTTATTGATTTGAGTCTTCTCCCTCTTTTTCTTGATGAGTCTGGCTAATGGTTTATCAATTTTGTTTATCTTCTCAAAGAATCAGCTTTTAGTTTTATTCATCTTTGCTATTGTTTTCTTTGTTTCTGTTTCATTTATTTCTGATCTAATCTTTATGATTTCTTTTTTTCTGCTAACTTTGGGTCTTGTTTGTTCTTCTTTCTCTAGTTCCTTTAGGTGTAAGGTTAGATTGTTTATTTGAGATTTTTCTTGTTTTTTGAGGTACGCTTGTATAGCTATAAACTTCCCTGTTAGAACTGCTTTTGCTGCATCCCATAGGTTTTGTTTTTTTTGTTTGTTTGTTTGTTTGTTTTTGTGGTACATGGGCCTCTCACTGTTGTGGCCTCTCCTGTTGCGGAGCACAGGCTCCGGATGCGCAGGCTCAGCGGCCATGGCTCACGGGTCCAGCCACTCCGCGGCATGTGGGATCTTCCCGGACCGGGGCATGAACCCGTGTCCCCTGCATCGGCAGGTGGACTCTCAACCACTGCGCCACCAGGGAAGCCCCATCCCATAGGTTTTGGATCATCGTGTTTTCATTGTCATTTGTCTCTAGGTATTTTTTGATTTCCTCTTTGATTTCTTCAGTATCTCTTGGTTATTTAGTAACGTATTGTTTAGCCTCCGTATGTTTGTGTTTTTTACGTTTTTTCCCCCTGTAATTGATTTCTAATCTCATAGCGTTGTGGTCAGAAAACATGCTTGATATGATTTCAATTTTCTTAAATTTACTGAGGCTAATTTGTGACCCAAGATGTGATCTATCCTGGAAAATGTTCTGTGTGCACTTGAGAAGAAAGTGTAATCTACTGGTTTTGGATGGAATATCCTATAAATATCAATTAAATCTATCTGGTCTGTTGTGCCATTTAAAGCTTGTGTTTCCTTATTAATTTTCTGTTTGGATGATCTGTCCATTGGTGTAAGTGAGGTGTTGAAGTCCCCCACTATTATTGTGTTACTGTCGATTTCCTCTTTTATAGCTGTTAGCAGTTGCCTTATGTATTGAGGTGCTCCTATGTTGGGTGCATATATATTTATAATTGTTATATCTTCTTCTGGGATTGATCCCTTGGTCATTATGTAGTGTCCTTCCTTGTCTCTTGTAACATTCTTTATTTTAAAGTCTGTTTTATCTGATATGAGTGTTGCTACTCCAGCTTTCTTTTGATTTCCATTTGCATAGAATATCTTTTTCCATCCCCTCACTTTCAGTCTGTATGTGTCCCTAGGTCTGAAGTGGGTCTCTTGTAGACAGCATATATATGGGTCTTGTTTTTGTACCCATTCAGCAAGCCTGTGTCTTTTGGTTGGAGCATTTAATCCTTTCACGTTTAAGGTAATTATCAATATGTATGTTCCTATGACCATTTTCTTAATTGTTTTGGGTTTGTTTTTGTAGGTTCTTTTCTTCTCTTGTGTTTCTCGCTTAGAGAAGTTCCTTTAGTATTTGTTGTAGAGCTGTTGTGGTGGTGCTGAATTCTCTTAGCTTTTGCTTGTCTGTAAAGCTTTTGTTTTCTCCATCGAATCTGAATGAAATCCTTGCCGGGTAGAGTAATCTTGGTTGTAGGTTCTTCCCTTTCATCACTTTAAGTATATCATGCCACTCCCTTCTGGCTTGTAGAGTTTCTGCTGAGAAATCAGCTGTTAACCTTATGGGAGTTCCCTTGTATGTTATTTGTCGTTTTTCCCTTGCAGCTTTCAATAATTTTTCTTAGTCTTTAATTTTTGCCAATTTGATTATTATGTTTCTTGGCGTGTTTCTCCTTGGGTTTATCACGTATGGGACTCTCTGCGCTTCCTGGACTTGGGTGGCTACTTCCTTTCCCGTGTTAGGGAAGTTTTCGACTCTAATCTCTTCAAATGTTTTCTCTGGTCCTTTGTCTCTCTCTTCTCCTTCTGGGACCCCTATAATGCGAATGTTGTTGCGTTTAATGTTGTCCCAGAGGTCTCTTAGGCTGTCTTCATTTCTTTTCATTCTTTTTTCTTTATTCTGTTCTGCAGCAGTGAATTCCACTATTCTGCCTTCCAGGTCACTTATCCATTCTTCTGCCTCAGTTATTCTGCTATTGATTCCTTCTAGTGTAGTTTTCATTTCAGTTATTGTATTGTTCATCTCTGTTTGTTTGTTCTTTAATTCTTCTAGGTCTTTGTTAAACCTTTCTTGCATCTTCTCAGTCTTTGCCTCCATTCTTTTTCCAAAGTCCTGGATCATCTTCGCTATCATTCTGAATTCTTTTTCTGGAAGCTTGCCTGTCTCCACTTCATTTAGTTGTTTTTCTGGGGTTTTATCTTGTTCCTTCATCTGGTACATAGCCCTCTGCCTTTTCATCTTACCTGTCTTTCTGTGAATGTGGTTTTTGTTCCACAGGCTGCAGGATTGTGGTTCTTCTTGCTTCTGCTGTCCGCCCTCTGAGAATTTTCTTATTTTAGTTGGAGGAGTCAGGGTTCACATTGTGATGATAGCTCGGCCTCCCGTCCCCCAAGAACATCCCCCTACCTGGGATGTTTCAGGTGGAATTCGTGCTGTCCCCTGCTTATTATGCCCAGCTCCGTGTGATACTGTGTGTCCTTGACAGGAGTCTGGTGGCCAAGGGCCAAGGAATGCCAGGAGCTAAGAAGCCATTCAGGAGGAAGACGCTTGAGCAAGGTCAGGGGTGCGCAGGAGTGCAGGAGGAGACTGTAAGTCGTCGAAGGTGCGCCAGCACCATTATACAAGTGCTAAAGAATGAATGGGGCTGGGCACTGAGCATTAGTGCTGCTCACCTGGCAAGAAGGGCAGAGGACCACACAGTGCGTGCCTCCTGAGGGAAGAACAGAACCACCTGTGAAGTTGCAAACCTGAATCTGATCAAACCTCCCACTTCCAATTCACAGGAAATACAGAGAGCAGAGAAACGTGTTAAACAGCACCATGAGGATGCAACCAGCACAGTCCAGATGCTGGGAAATTTACGTACAGGATGAACAACCAAGTTGCAAGGAAAAGCAAAACGATAGAGGTGGAGAGGGAACCTACAGATCTAAAAATACTTAAATATATATATCAACCACTAACGGTGCGTGGACCTTATTTGGATCCTGAATCAAAGAAACAAACGGTGATGGGAAAAATTTGTGAGACCAGTGACTGGATATTTGATATTAAGGAATTAGTGTTAACTTTTTAAGGTGTGACAGTGGTCAAAGCCCTTATCTTTTAAGGACACATACTGAAATATTTACAGCTTACATGAGATGTCTGGTATTTGCTTCAAAATTACACAGGAAGGGGTAAGTGGATGGGAGCGTAAGTAAAAAGATTGAGCACTAGTTGATAATCGTTGAAGCTGGATGCTGGATACATGGGAATTATTTTATACTATTCTGGCACTTTCTCGAAGTGTATGTTTGAAAATTGCCATAATAAAAATACTTAATAAAACTATAAAACATATGTGGTGAGGAGAAAACATCTGGATTTGGAAGGAAGGTGCAATCAGCCAACTGGCTGGGGGCCGTGAGTGGGAGTGCAGGAGTCAGGCTGCCTGGGCCTGGGACACACATGTGGGGAGGGCCTCCTGGATGGGCAGATGGGGTGAAAAGGTGAAGGAGTGGTCGGCAAGCCTTGCAGTTCTCAACTGTTGATTAACAGTCAGCTTCCTCCGTTTCCAAGACCTTAAAAGTGTTTAAAAGAAAATAATTCCACAGAAACAAAATTGGCCACAAAAAGCTGTCCATGCCTCCTACCTACTTTCAGGCTCTGTTGTGAGCACCGGTTTCCAAGCCCTACACGATGTCGTCTTTGCTTGGAGCCTGAGGGTGCGTGCAAGCTGCTGCTGTTTGCCGTCCCTGACCTCGGGCTGGCCAGGCATCCTGGCTTCAGTCATGTCCTCATGGGCAAAGTCGCAGAGCCAATAACAGTGTTCCAGCTGATGGAGTACGGACGTCATCGGGTCCAGCCCTCTACAACTGCTCTCCAGAGAAGCCCTAGGGAGTAGAGTCTTTGTGTCCAAGCAGCACTGGGAGCAGTCTTAGGTAAAAGTAAGTAATTCTGCGGAGTTTTCATGTTGAAGCATACGTTCACCCAGTACACTTGTATTGCATGTCTGCTGCATGTCAAGCCCTGGCTGGGCTTTTCCGTGAGGGATTCGCAGATGAGTAAGAAATAATTTCTGTCCTAGAATAGCTAACTAGATCTGAGTTGGAGGGAAGGGAGAAGGAAGGAGCAGAGAATTAAACAGAATATTCACATACGTTATGGGCAAGAGAGCACTGGCATGGGAATCAGAAAGTCCAGGGGCTACTATCAACTGTGGGTTTCTGGGCAAGTGACTTTCCCTCTCTGACCCTTGGCAATCCTGTCTACAAAATGGGTGTGATAACCTCAGCTTGGCCTAACCCACAGAGAAGGCATCTGGAGAACCAATACATTAGCTCATGTAATATATGGTTGAAGGTATTTTGATAAATGAATAAATATGTTGATTTCAAACAGATACGTTTTTACCACACCAAGGGACTGGTAAGTGGCGAAAAGATTACATACTGCCTCCTACCTTAGCTGAAAGCAGCCCCCTCCCAAGGCCCTGAGCTCAAGACCCTGGGCAGATGTACAAAAGGGGAGACAACATGTCTGGGGTGGCTGGAGGGGGCCAGCTGGCGGAGGCAGCGCAGAAAGAGGTAATGGAAGAGGTGAGATGAACATTTCCTTCCTGCTGTGCTGTCAATGGAGAATAATAGGAAGAAACTGGTCTGAGATTTTGACACAACGTCTAATCATAGTGACTAGACACAGGTGCTAACAGAACTTCTAAACTGTGGGGCAAGTTTGTGATTTAGGAATTCCAACTTTAAGACCCTGGAGATGGACCAGACTGACCCTCTTGTGGGCTCAGCCCAGAATCGGGTGAACTTTGCTCAAGGAATACAGAGAAATAGAAAGAAAGAGACAGCAAGTGAGACAGAGGCTGAGGCAGGGCCAACCCGGGGCTCTTTCATCTAAAAGCCACTTTGTCAAGTGCTGGCTGGGCTCCATCAGCAAATCAACTGGCCGCCTCTCAAGCTCCTGTTCTGTGTGGGTAGCACTGGATACTCTGTGTGCAGAGGAACAAGGCCCTTGACCTTGGAGAATTTGCAGAATGATGGAGAGACAGATTTGCCCCTGAATAATAATTCCCCTACAGACTCGGGAAGCTCAGAGCAGGGCATCAGGGAGGCCTGGAGAGACTTGGGGAGGCTTCTGTGGGGAGACAGGCCTGGAGCTGGCTCATGGAGGACAGACTACAGGCAAAGCTTGACAGATTCACAGTCAGTCCTTGACTGAAGAGAGAAGCAGGTGTTTTGAAAACGTGATGCCACTTTTCACTGTAATTAGTAAATGTGCCCTGTGAGTTAGGAGTATGCCAGTATAGTAAAGATTTTAAGGTCCCTACCCTATAGTTTAAGGGCATTGTGTCCTGTGGGAGAGGCCTGTGTATCCTGGCTGAGTGGCTTCAGAGGCTGCGTCTACTCCCTTCCCAGGGAAGATAATCTTTGCACATCTTAAAGAGAGCAGAGAAGATGAGTTCAGAGCCCTCTCCCTGCAGCGCACATGGGAAAGTCCTGCTGCCCCCTGACTAGTTTCTCTTGCTGCAATGCACTGCAGTCACTGTTTTGGCTGCCCTTGGAGCCAGTGGAAGACAGCTGGTAGCTCTCTCTTGGGTGGAGAGCAGTTCCTCTGTATGAATTTGAGTAAGTGTTGCCCAACTGTCTGCCACCCGGGCTTCTCAGCAACTGTCACTGCAGCAGAGCAGAGAAGGGGAAGTCAAGAACGAAAACCTCAGGGCATGAGGTTGGCCGGTGCAGCTATGGGCCGGGTCAGGATTGGGGTGGAGAGCAGGATGACAGACTGGAGAGGAATGGAAAGACCTGGGCCTACCTGGCCAGCCCTTCCTGGAACTCCCTGGCACTGGAGCCATGACTGACTTCCCCTGACTGGAACATGCCTGTTCCAGGAAAAGGCCCAGCTCTTGCTGGAAAGATGCCTCAGTGGGTTCCAGGGAAACATGACCACTCATGCAAAGACTCTGAGCTGCCCCCATAACCTGCCCTGCCCACCAGGGAGTGTTTGATGTGCTGTGGCTGGGAAGTCAAGTCAGCAGGAAGCAGATGGTTTGAGATATTTCAAAAGAGGATGAGACAATTTGAACAGCAAAAGAAATAATGATAATAATGAAATAAAATTAATACTCATGAGTCTATACTGATATAAATAAATAAATAGGAAGAAAGGCTAACTTTCTTACAGTAAAATTCCAATTAAAAAAATATAGAAAATTCCAATTAAAAAATATAGAAAGGGGCTTCCCTGGTGGCGCAGTGGTTGAGAGTCCGCCTGCTGATGCAGGGAACACGGGTTTGTGCCCTGGTCCGGGAAGATCCCACATGCCTCGGAGCGGCTGGGCCCGTGAGCCATGGCCGCTGAGCCTGCGCATCTGGAGCCTGTTGCTCTGCAACGGGAGAGGCCACAGCAGTGAGAGGCCCGCGTACCGCAAAATCTTCCCGGACAAAAAAAAAAATATATATATATATATATATATATATATATATATATATAGAAAGAATGATGGAAATAGAAAGTGACCATTTGGCAAACACCACAGTAATAATCGTTGTCAGAAAGCATCATCGGTAGATGCTAAAATTAGTGGTAAAAGTATGATAAGAAGCAGGATATTTGCATAGTTTCAAAGTACCTCCCCACAAGATGCTTATTACAAAGGAATAAATAGTAATTTCATGGTGGAAAAACCTGGCAGACACTACCTTACCAAGTGATCAAAGTTAACATTGCCAGTAATGAGCCATATTAAAATGAGGTACATCTGGTATCATGCGCTGAGAGGGACACATCACTTCTCTGGTGTTCCTGCCCAAAATGCATAGCCTCAATCTAATCATGAAGAAGCATCAGACCAAAATTTAGGGGCATTCTACAGTTCTCTTCAGAACTGTCAGGTCATGAAAGATAAAGCAAGACCGAGGAACTGTCTCAGAATGGAGAGACCAAGGAGACACAACAACAAAATGCAGGGTGGGGTTCTGCTTCACATCCTGGACCAGAGAAGGGACATTAGTGGGACAATTGGTGACATTCGAATAAGGTCTGCAGATTAGTTAACTGTGTTGTGTCATGGTTCAGATCGTTGTATTGTGGTTTTGTAAGATGTTAACGGGAATTCTGTGCACAATTTTTTCAAGTCTAAAAATTATTTTTAAATTAAAAAATTTTAAAAAGGGAGTGAGGAAGGAGCCCAGGTTCTAGAACTTAGTTGTTCCCCAAGATGGAAGCAGGACTCTTTGCCTTATTCTCCCTATTGGTAACTAGCATTTGGCCTGGAGAGACTTGGAGACCCACCCACTAGGAAGGTCCCCTGCTTCCCTCTGTGAGAGTGAGAACCCATCACAGGCTTGGCCTCCTGTGGCCTGTCGATGCCAGAGAAAGGCAAATGTCTGCCTTTGTCCACCTCTCTGGGGACCTTCAGTTCTCATGCCTGTCTGAGGGAGGCATCATCCCCACACCCCCAAAAGATCTGAAAACCACGGCTCAGAGAGGTGAAGCCACCATCTCTAGGTCACACAGCAGATACATAGCCAGATTCAAGCCCAGCTCTGTGTAACCCAATTGCCAGTGTCTGTAACCACCTGACATTATTCTATTACTGCTCAGTTCAGGTAGGGGCAACGAGCATTCACCAAGCAACTACTGTGTGTCAGGCTGGCAGTGGGGCTGGAGGTGAAGGTGGCTGAGACATTGACCCTGGACCACAGGTGCCATCCTGGCGGAGAGGAACCTTCATACTGCCAAGCATATGGCAGGCAGTGTGTCACACACACATATTCGTTCATTCAGTCTGCTCTTGCCTGGCCCTGGACTCAGGCTGGTGGGTCAAATATGGTCCTTGCCCTGAGAGCTCGTGACCCAGTAGCGGAGCAGACAAGTGAACAGACAGCTAGCTATGCGGAGATTCATGCCATGATGGGAATGGCAGGGGGAGTAGGGAAAGGGAAAGAGGGAATATGGTCTAGAAAGTCTAGGAGATGAGAATATCCCTGACACTGTGGGTGGAACAGACACAGCACTGCTTGGAGGGAGTTAGGGTCAGAGAAGGAGGGTTGGGGGTGAATGAGGGAGTGTGTAGAATCCTGCTGGGGAGGTATCCAGGACCAATGAAGCTGGAGACTGGGAAGGCCACCTAGATAGGGGACAGGGTAAGCGAAAGCCTGGAAGTCTGGACTGAGACAGTTCATGTTCTTGGCCCAGCTGCAGGGGAATCGTTCCAGAGAAGTATGGTTGGGGACACATGTTTTCCAAAGTAATTAGAACCTCTCTTTGGGGGAGATGTTCTTTCATGGGGGCAGTCATTTGAGCTTGACTCATCTTCAGTGAGGGAAACAGCTTGTGGCTGTGCAGCTGAGGTGGGTCTGGGGCAGGCGCAAAGAGGTATTTTGTTCCAGCCGGAAGGCAGGATGTGTTCAGGAAGCTGTCCAGGGAGGGGAAGAGCTTATGAAGGATCACTCCCTCTGCACTTCACTGAGGAAGAAGGACCCAGGCGCTACTGCTCTCCTCCTGGGTGCGAGGTGGACATCCCTAGGCAAGTGGAGCTGGCTCTGGTAGGAAACTCTCGGAATGGGGTGGGCCCTACACAGGGGCCACAGGTTGAGACAGGATCTGGTGGCCCGGAGAGTGTGGACTGTGTGGGGAGAGGCAGGTGCTAAGCGGGGTGAGTGTGGAGCTCTGTCTCTAGGGCAGCTGTTGGAACAGTTGCCCCAGCAGCTGGGGAGTAAGGTGGTCTGCTGGCCCCTTGCCCCCTTGATTCCAGCTCAGAATCTGCTTCGTGGATTCTGGAAATCCCTGAGAGTTGCTACCGACATGGCTGGGTGACCTCAGGCATTCCCTTTCCTCTCTGAGCTGTACTGTGATGGGGACAGATGAGATGGCCTTTAAGGGTCCCCCTCCCAGGGCTGAGGTTCCCAGCACCCATCCACACTCACTCTTTATG